TCGATTAGAAGATGGTGGTTCTAGCTTAACCAGGTCAGGGGTTCGATCCCTTCTGAGAACGCAGCAGCAAGGCAGTGGTAGGGGGCTCTGCCTTTAAAGGGTCCACCAAACTCCTGATCCGGATTAGTTTGGGCTGTTGTGGTGCCTGAAAGATGGCCTGCCCAGGATACCAGGTGCTATTACACCAAAAATAAAAACCTGCATTCTTTCTGATGCCTTCCAGATAGATGATTGAACTAATGGCTTTCGAAATTCATCCTCCTGAGTACTAGAAACATACTACCTCCGATCCTTAATATAAAAGTTAGTTGATTAATTTGAATAGATTAAGAAAATTAGTTAAATTAATTATTTGTAATAAATATATATTTTTTCTTAAAATATCCTTACTAATAAGTATATTAACTAGAACTATTATTATCATAAGAACCATCTTGAAAAAAATAGATAAATATACAAGACAAAACAAAATAGAGTCTTATATTTAAGATCAAAATAAAAATGAAATGAATTCTTATATTAAATACATGAGGTAGTATTTTGGTTTCAAGTTAAGAGAGAATGAGAATCCTCTCAAGCATTGAGCGAGCACCAAACATTCTTAGCCAGTAGAGCGTAATTAAATTCTTCAATCTTCTTACTACCCAAACTCCCATATAGAAGTCAGAAGACAAAGCTGATCCCAAGCTTTGGGATGAATCTTCTTTTTTATCCACCAAATCTCCCAGAAAAAACGCGCTAACCTCATACATATCAGTATCATGAGCAAAATATGCAGGTAATTTGACACATGAAAGTGATAAACCAAAAGAGAGGGAATTGCTGATTTGATCAAAGCTAACCTGCCTGCCCGAGAAAGAAGTCTCACCCTCCAGTACCTAAAGTTTTGAATCTAGTTTCTCCATGATATCATCAAAGACGATCGATTTATCTTTACCCAAATCCACATAAGTGCCAAGGTACTTACCAAGCTTGGAGGCAAATTTAAATCCCATATATTGGGGTAGCTGAATCTTCGAAGTATGACTGACGTTAGGACTAAAAACCATTGATGATTTGGCTTTATTCCCTCTCTGTCCAGCCAAATGGCCATATGTTTCCAGAACCCTGTTCGCTATCCTCAATTGTTGTGGATTATCCTATGCAGACAACAAGGTATCATCAGCAAAAACATGCGAGTGAGTGGAAGAGAGTTCCTGGAGATCTTGATACCCTTCCAAATGCCTGTCTCTGCAACTGAATAATCCAACCAAGAAGAACATCAGAATAGAGAATATAAAGGTAAGGTAATAAGGAGTCCCCCTGTCTTATACTCCATTCAAGAGAGAGGACTTGAGAAGGAAAGCCACTAATTAAAACCTGGAAGGAGGCAAATGAAACACACACCATAATCATCTCTATCTACGTCTAAGGAAAATTCATCAAGACCAAAACAGCACGAAGAAAATTCCAGGAGAGTTTATCATAAGCTTTTTCAGTATCAATTTTTAAAACACACTAACAATGAGACATCACTATCACCCATCTGAACCAAGGTAATTCAAAGGTCCAGGCATATTCGGGAACTGGAAAAAACATTGAACCAATCGAAAGACATCATTACCAAGCGTACCCCAAACAATGTTGGTAAAATATCAGGTATACTATATTCATCTAAATTTATAGATATGAGCTATCTTTTATTATACTCCTCCGGTCCTAAATGTAAGACCCTTATATTAGTGTGTATAAGTGTCTTACATTTAGGACCGGAGGAGTATATATTTATAGAAGCTTTATCTTAACATTACAAGTGACATCCCTATTAAAGAAAAAAAAATGACATAAAAAGAAGTTAAAAATTATAATATTTTAATTTAGGTACCAAAACTTCAAAATCCCAAGGAAGGAAGTAATGCCTAACATGATATTTTGTAAATATAGTTAAATGACAAAAATGCCTTTGTATCAAAAAGTTTATTAACACGTTGTGAACTGACAATAACAAGTATTGAATAACAAATGAAAAGAAATATATTGGTAATGACAAATTATTTATTAAGAAGTTATGAATTGACAATGACAAGTGTTGAACAACTAATGACAAAAAATATATTGGTAATGACAAGTTTGATAGCTTTTTTTTTTTTAAATTGATACAAGGATATTTTAGTCATTTGACTATAATTGCAAAAAAACCCACATTAGGCACCACTTTCTCTCCTAAAATTTTAAGTGCATGAACTAGAATATTGTAATTTCCAACTTTTTTAATGTCATTTTCCCTATATTAAATTGGTGACAAATGGCACTCTAAATTAATTGGTGTTATCATATTTTTCATTCATTTTCAATTATTTATACATTTGAATTAAATACTGATGTGAAATGTAAAATTATTTTAAATTCAGGACCCTCATCATTTATGATGTTCTAGAAGATTATTTATTTTGTGTGTGTGTGTAACACAAACACTTGCTCCATAAAAGAAAAGATTCTCATTTTCTGTCTTGAATGATTAAGTTTAGCGGACAGTATAACGTCTCACCTTTTTTAAGGTAATACAATTTATTATGAATTTATTGTCTTTATATGAAAAGGTTAAAATTTATAGAACTCTCATGACATCTTAAAGTTTTTAATTTTTGACATTAATCCTCTCCATTGGCATCTTACGTGGCAGTTTCGGTAATCATAGGAGTTGTATTCAATATTTCTATTTCATGTATTGTCACTTGAACTTTCTTGTAAGTTGATGTCTAGTGCGTGATGTTATCTCGTGTGTAATTATTTATCTATCCAAATCTTTTTTCATATGATATAATTTACTACTTTATTGTTGGCAAAAAAAATTTACTAATTTATATATATATATATATATATATATATATAAAGAGCCAAAGTGCTCCTAGCATAAATCATTCTTTAAATTAAAGTCAACTTATTCAAAAATGAATGGACTTCATAAATGGAGTATTAATGCAAATAACATTAATAACTTAGTTGAAGTTTTTCAAACAACAATAATTTTAATTATTATTTAATAAAAATGACAAAGACATTGTAATTCAGAGGGGATGGGAAGGATCGCAGATAAAACTTAAAAAGGTATTTGGATAACCCCAAAAATATTTTTAAAAAATATTTTTTTACAAATCAAGGCAAATTTCATTATATATTTACTTTGTATATTATAAAAATACTTTTAAAACTATGATTTTATTTCTAACCAAACATCTCCCAAGTCAATTGAGACCATGTATAAAATTACATGCCACTATTGTAAATTTTGGCTATTAGGAAATAGATAAAAATTAAGGAGTGTTTGGATGAAAATTAAATAATGATTTCAAAAATAGTTTTTCAGTATATAAAATAAATATGTAGAAAAAATTTATGTTGATTTACAAAAAAAAATATTTTTTAAAAAAATTTTAAGCATATCCAAACACTTTTTTGGTAAATCTTTGGAATCTGAGAGGGAATCTAAAAGTGGCTGTAGTCATTCAATTTTGAAGCAGTTTGAGTGTCATATCGTATCACATGCGAATCTGATAAGCTAACATCCTGCTTCTTACTTCTTCGTACTCACTTGCCAGTTGCCACATTCTTTTTGAAACCCAATGCTCCAAACCAAACAAGTACCAGCAGATAGAAAAATAGCCGTTGCTTGGTGGTTTGATTTCCTCATAGAATATTCTCTCCCCATCAATTTCAAGGCATACTTTTTTGTTGACCCAGACCAAATGTATGTAACCGTTGCCTCAAATTTGAATCCCCCCTCTCTGAACACGACAAACCCCAAGGTGCCGGTCTAGGCCGTCAAGCTTCTCACGGTTTTCAGCGACTTCCCCGCAGAATGTTAGCACTTCCCCATTCATTGTTCTGTTGAAATTGAGAAATTTTTTAAATTTAATCATTTTTCAACCTTATACTACTAATTTAATACTCCCTCCGTTTCTTATTATAAGAGACATTTGATACTTATGGCATGTTCCTATATATAAGAGACACTTACAAGTTGTTTCTACTTTTTTGTGTTGATTTACTATTTTATCCATATTTATTATCTCCAACTCACACTCTCTCTCCCTCCCACTTCTCTTTCTTTTAATAATTTAATTGTTTTCTCTCATGCTCTCTCTCCTTATTAATGAGGGCATTTTTGGAAAAAAATTATACTTTTTACACATTAATTGTTCTTAACTAATTTTAACTGTTTTTTTGATCAACATACTTCGGTTATTTGTCTCTTATAATAAGGAACGGAGGGAGTATCATATTTTCTCTTTTTCTTTTTTACTACCTAATATACATATTTTCTCAAGGAAAAAAGCAGTGACACATTATAATGAATTAGGGATAAATTGTATATTCATATAATAAATTGGATGAAATAACTTAATGACAAAAAATTACCTTTTTTGCCTTAAAAATAGAATAATAAGAATATCATTTAATACTCATTTAGTCATTTCCTTTCATTATAGTTGCACGAAAAATTAAATCTTATATTTAGAAAATGAAACAATATTTTTTTAGAAATACAAAAAATTAAAATTTCAAAATGATATTTAGTGCTCCTTCCGATCCATAATATGAGTCACTTTTAGAAAAATGATTTGGACCCAGATATAAATTATTTAAAGAGTAATTAATTCTTTTTTTGGTCAAAATTTTTCCTACGATTAATGTTTAAATATAACTTCTTATATTTTTCTTTCTCCTCCACAACTTCATTTATTAAAAGTAAAGCTAGAAAAAAATTTAAACTTGAGAGACATTTGATAAGCTAACTATAATTTTTAGTTTTGATGATTTAGTTAAAACAATTTATATTATGGATGGGACTTGGGAGGGACCGGGGGAATAATATTTTTACTGTTTTACCCTCAAATTTTTAAAAGAATGCCATGGGATGGCTTGAATGTGACGTTCAAGTTAAGTGGGGTTAGCTTGGCTGGGTCAGACAGCAAATTCATCCTCTTTTGGATCTGTGTTCTGTAGAGAGAGACAGGCAGCCCGCCCGTTACCAAAATTTGAATTTTCTCTGTCTCTTCTTCTTTCTCTCTGCATCTTCCCCTTCGTTAAATCAGAAAGTTGCAAACTTTTTCTCAATTGAATGCAATGAATGATTATTAGTTTTCTTGGGCATTGTCCAACCTTTTCCTTTCCCCTTCGTCTTAATTTCAATTCAAATCTGCCTTTTTTTCTCTCTCTGCCTTTCCTTTCTTCTTCTCCCCTTCCGCTCTCTCCCCTCCCCCCTCTTCCCCCCCTCCTAATCCTTCCAGTCTCTGTCATTTCCTTCTTTCAATCCCTTGCTCCATTGCTAAGGTCAGACCAGAGGAACTTCGATGGGTACATGTTTGAGTAAGAAGAAAGGGTCCTCCTCCTCCTTTTCTCCTGTTGTTGAAACCAAGTCTCTTTCTTCTTCAGCGCCTTCTGAGCTGAAGAAGAATTCTGCCAATGTCATTTCTGTTTCCAAACCCAAAGTGGAAACTGAGCCACAACTGAATCCGGAGAAAGACAAGAAGACAGTGCTTCCAGATAAGCAAGAGCCAGTGCGTGAAGATGAAGGAGGCCAAGTTAAAAAAGAGATTTTCATCATCAAGCACAGGAAAAGCCATGATGACAGAGAGAGAAATTCCAAATGCCCACCAACTGTTCACCAGAACGCCTCAGTTGATGGCGTTGCTGAAAATGAAGCTACTATTGAAGCAGCTGAGTTAATCGGTACAAACAAGATTGTGCCACCAGCATCAGCACCATCAGCAGCAGCCATGGGAGTGGGTGTAAGGACTTCAAGCTGCACTAAAGAAGAGGTGGATGCAATTCTCATACAGTGTGGGAGACTCAGCAGAAGCTCTTCCGGTAAAACTGCTTCTTCTTCTGCTGGTGCTGGTGAACGTAGGAGAAGGTACTCCGGTTCAAAGAGAAGCTTTGATTTTGATCATTGTGACAATGACACCATTTCTGCTGATGATGACCAAAGGAGAGCCAAAAGCACTGACAATAGTGATCCGTGTGAAGATGATGGAGAGAAACGCCGCCAACACCGCCCACGAGACCGCCAATCTCCAAGGAAGCCGTCTTCTTCTCATGGAAGGAGAAGGACGCCCAGCAGGGAAAGAGATCAGCAGCAGAACCAGCGATCCAGTAGCAGAGAGAGAAGGGTTAGCAGATCTCCTGGCAGAAGATCTTCGGAGACCAGCAACCCGCCAAGCACAAACTCAACTTCTGCCATTGCAGGCGGCAATAACAGCAATTCCTCTGCTAGACCCGGGAAGATGGTCTCAGTCCCTCCAACTGTTTCATCTTTGGTTATGGATAAGAGTAACAATGGTGGTGGAGGAGAATCTGGAGTGAAGAAGATCTCAGTGAAGAGGAATGTTGGTGATAGTGGCATGGTGGGTTCAAGATCTGCAGCCTCACCACGTTCTCAATCCCCTGCAAGAGCAAATGGTAATGCAGCAAGTTCAAAAGCACTGGGAGAGAACAATCCTCAGCAACAACCCTCACTTAGCCGTAACTCTTCAAGGAAAGCAGATCAATCGCCTTATAGAAGAAACCCATTGAGTGAAATTGATCCCAATTCACTTGCTTATCCCCAGTCAGCCAACACTAACAATAGGGTAATCCTTCACTAATTTAACATTTCTCACCAGAAAGAACTGAAGAAATTTCTTTTGATTTTGTTCTGTTTATTGTTTGCTTGTCGGCCAATAGGTGTGATTTTTCTGAAATTTGATAATTTGATGACGAATAATGCTAATTTTCTTTGATGCAGAACATGAATGTTGATGTGAATGACAACGCCAAAAGCAGAACCAGGGGTGTGGGGAGAAATTGCAAGCCAAAGGAGCAACACGAGGAAGAGGTGATCGGGCATTGTCCAATGACTGAAAATATTGTTGTGAAAACAGTTGTGCCTTCAGGAATTGACAACCTTAAACAATCCCACACATTAACAAGAAGCCGGTCCTCTAGGCGGTCCCGGGACCTGGACATCAACCCTGAAGCAATGTTGAATCCTGAGCAGTCATACACCTCGCTACTACTTGAAGACATCCAAAACTTCCACCAAAAAAGCACTGCCACACCGCCTGTCTCTCTCCCTGCTTGCGTAACTAAAGCCTGCTCTATACTTGAAGCTGTTGCTGATCTGAACTCCACTAACAGCTCAAATCTCCTCGGTCCCTTCTCCGATGACCGAAAAAGTCCACCCACGTGTCAATCAACTAAGAATGACTACAATGGCTTATTGGGTTCAAATCATTATGGGAAGAAGAGGATCACAGACACCAAAGATCCATTTGTAGAATCTGAGGTTGTTGTACATGATGATGTGATGGAGCCAAGCTTTCATAAGTATGTCACAGTGAAGAGGGGTGGTTCAGTTCGTGGTGGCGGTGGTAATGGTAGTGGGGCAGACATGGAGGATCAAGAGTCTTCAGGAAGCAACAGTTTCACTGTGAGTGGTCAACAGAACTGGGGGTTCTCTTCTTCTTCATGGGAACCCAATTCTGCTGATTCTACGGATTGCTGGAGTTCAAGATTGAACTCCACAGAGGAAGAAGTCCAGAAAGGTTCGTCAAGCTGGGCATCTGAAGCAGGACGTGACATGGAGGAAACGAGGAAGAAGTCCAATGGCAAGAGGAGAGAATGTGATCATCAGCACAGCGGTGGAATAGGGAGGGGCAGGCTTGGTGCAGATAAGAGTTTGCATACCATATCTGCTACAGCGGCTGCGACCACATAGATTATGATATGTATGGACATGTATCTTTGTCTAGTTTTCTTTTAAAGTACTGATTATTGCTTCTGTTTGGGGTTGCAAACTTGCAACCATTTCAAGTTTAATTAAGGCCTTGATTTTTCAATATTCATAGATTCTCTCCTTTATTTTCCTTGTGCATGTTAAAACATGATTGAAGGGTTAGTATGGGCGATTCCATGCAGAAGCCTGTATAAAATTCTCTTCTCATCAGTAAACAAGTACATACCGTTCAATGGTCATGAACAAACCTCACGTTCATGTTAAAGTCATTCAATGATCATTGAACACTTAAATCAATCGGGGGGACAAGGAAGCTTCATAATTTCCATTCCCTGGATTTTGGAAGCTTCAATGGTTAGATTGCAATATGTCTATATCTAGTACAAGTTTCAGGCATTTCCATTGCAATCTAATTCTCTAAAAGCTGTCCCGTTTTGCTACAGTAAAATATTTTTTTAACACCAAGAGAAAAAAAATATTTTATGATGTTGGACACATTCAAAAATATTTCTAAATATACCACAAAATACTTTAGGATGCTAAATGTACTTTATTCCTTTTTCAATATATTATATGGAAGGTAAGAAATGGGAAATGCTATTCATAAATAGAAAATAATGTGGCTTAGTGTAAGTTTTATTTATATACCAGAATAGCCTCACGTAGAATCAGACCATTTTTTATTAGAAAACAAAAAAAAAATCAATTAAATGAATAAAAATGGACAATGGCCTTATTTTCATAGTTATAATATCCTTTTGTCTGCCAATAGAAGCAAATTTTAACCAGCTCTAACGCAGATTAAAAAAAAAATAGTTTATCTTAATAAGTATTTTGCAAACTAAAAGTTTTGAAGTAAAATGCCCTTATAATTAATGCTTTACTTTCTTTACTATTTTAATGATACTCATTAGTAAAAAGTGGTTAACAATGAGCAATTTTGAAAAGACGTCTGAAATGCATCTCAAATTTTGTTGCTTCTGCTTATGAAAAAGAGAAATCATATTCAGCATTTGCTTATGTGGGGAAAAAAACAAACGGAGGGAGTATTGATTAAAACTATGACTAAAAATTGTTCACCGAAACAAAAAACCATGACTAAAATTATCCTTTATGGAATGCTTTAGGAAGGTGTATCAATTTGAATGTAACATTGGAGCAATGAAATTTAAAATTCAAAGGCATCCTAAATCCTAAATATTTTATAGATATGAAGGTGTATTGATCTGACCGTGAATTGCCCTTTATAGAAAAGGCTTGTGCAAAGTAGCTCTTGGTAGGAGTGAAAAACTGAACCTGGTTTCTAACCGTTGATGAGAAAACTTTTGCAACTTTTTTTCACTAAAAAGAAAATTTAGCTGTTCCCAACTTTGTTCACTTTACTTTGAAATTTGAGCTTCAGAAAGAGGGAGGCTTTTGCGGCAAACTTTCTGCTCGTGGGAGAAAGAAACAGCTTCACCTTTTTTACTTTACATATGAGCACCGATGTGTTAAATTAATTAAAATACAGTAATAAAAGTAATTAAGACAGAAAAACGGGAGAATATGAGCATTGATGTGGTAAATTGGCATTCTATCAATAATGTTCTTGATAATACAAAAACTATAATCTATACACTTTTATCGCTTCTGTCAAGTTGCAGCATTTAAGGTCCCCAAGACGACAATGCTACTTTTACGAAAACAACTGATTCCTAAATAAGGCCTGGAATCCAGCTTGATAGTAAATTTCAAGCTTTCTAAAGAGCATGCTACATATATATCGTACCTAGACAGGTTTCCACGGCTTAACCTATGACTCTGAGGTTCAGCAACAATTGAAACACTATTTACAGAAATTAATGATAAGCTCAGAAACTGTAGATGATGTTGTTTCAATTTTCTCTTGTCCGGTTCTCAAACCAAACCTTGCTCGTGGCATATCTCCAAATTGATGTCTTCATATAAACATCCAATTCCCCAAGCAATTGTTTCACATCTTGTTCAGGCGCAAAGAACTTATAAAATATGGAGTATTTCAGTATATTCTTCATTTTGAAGTGTTTCTATAGTTAACCATGTATATTGCAGCCAAAGTAACAACGGCCCCAACTAGTTGTAAAGGTGAGAAGGTCTCACCCAGATACAGAAACCTGAAATTTAAAAATAAATATGTAAATAACAACGGCATGAGGGAAAGGGATAGATAATAAAGAAACCACGACACTAAAGAAGGTTAAAAGATCAAAGAAAGAAGTAATGACTTGTGAATGATGCCATTGGTAGCAAACCACCATCGCCTTTTAAGAATTTAGTCATCTTTTAAAATCTGGCCTGACAATAGGAAAGACTCTCACGGCTTTCAGTCTTTTCTTTTTTTTTGGGTCTTACATTTCAACTCAATATCTGGGAAAATAAAACCTACAGAACCAAAGCTGTATAATATTGATATAAAAGGACCTTAAAAATCATATCTCCCTGAAAAACCATTTGTTAACATCGGTGTCAAAGTTACCATTATTGCTCCATAGAGTAACAACTTGACCTTCCAAAGTTTTACACCGTATTTTCATTCAAGAACAATGGCAAAACAAAAACACCGATGTAATATCAGTAAATAATGTTCTAACTTGAGAGATCACAAGTAGTGGCTTGTGGTCTTTGGTTTATGTTTCATGTCTTTAGTTGTCGGCTTTTTAAGTTGAGCCCTTGGATGTCATTTTCCCTTACTTTAGTGCAAAAGCATTTTAATAAGATAGTTTTACAATTAAGCATTGGTTATTTTTACAATTCAACTAAGGATATGTTCTATCCCTCTATACTAAGCTTCTTGCTCTGGATGGCATGAGTCGTAGGCCTTCGGTACTATCATAAAAGTGAAAACGGTTTAAAGTTGGACAAGGAAAAGAGCCCGTTACCCAAAAATGGAAGCAAACATTGGGGTCAAAAACGTGAGGGAGCTGAGCTTGGTCAAGCTACCTGCAACACATCACAAAAGCATTATTAATATGGAGTTTTAAGATTTACTTGTAACCAGAGTTGAATCATGCATATGTTACTAATAATGTATCAATAACACAAGCGAATTACAAAATGGAATATGAAAAGAGTCACTCCAACTCTGAACGTCAAGAGAAAGCTGGAGTTGGTTGATGAAATTTGAAGATATATAATAGTATAAGAGAAATATACAGACCCTTAGTTGCACTATAGAAGAATACGCCATAGCTGACAGCACTTCCAAAAATTGAAGTATAGAGGAGCGCCAGTATATCAGTTGAACTGAACTCTTTAAAACTTCCACTAATGGCAGGATCATTGTTAAGAATGGAGATTGCCAGAAGAGGGAGACCACCAATTACCATGTGCTGCAACCACAATAGCATATGCATTAACCTTGCTTCCTTACATCATTGCAAAACCATGATAAATTTTGCTTTTCTCCATAATCCTCCTGTAATCTAACCTTCTTAGCATAAAACAATACTCATCAACTCCAATAACTTCAGTGAAAGGAGTCCAGCATGTTTATCTGTATAGTTTTTAAAATTGCCATTCTGTCCTTTTTATTTACTGGTAATGAATATAGAGGCTACCAATATATTAAATAATTATACGGATAAGAGAGCTGAGATATAGGTTGAAACTTGTATGAATTGATTGGAAAGAAAACTAATTATCCGCCAAAATTGCATTTTAACTAACAACGATAATCAATAAGACTATGAAACACTACAGAAAGACCGTGAATCCTACCCATCCAGTTGCCATCACAGGATCAGAGTACTTAGAGACCCAGCGAACCATGACCGTGCCAACTGCCATGCTTTGAGCAGCAAGAAGCATCCACCACTCCCCACTCCCCCAGAGTGAGAAATTGCTCTCATCAAATGACAGAGCAGGCAACTACCAAAAAAAAACAACTAAAAAAGTGAATAAAATCTGGAGGGAATTCAACAGGCTTCAAGGAATAATGCATTATTAATTTTAAATAAAAAATTACAAAAATATCTTGGGTTAAGGTGCATTCAGCACCCTAAAGTATTTTCTTGAGCGCATCCACCCCGAAGTATTTTGTAGTGCATCCAGCACCTTGAAATATTTTCTTGAGAGCATCCACTCCGAAGTATTTTGTGATGCATCCAACACCCTGAAGTATATTTTTTGCTATGGAAAAATATTTTATGGTGCTAGACGCACCTGAAAAAACATTTTAGGATGCTCGATGCACCAAAAAAATACTTCAAGGTGACAGATGCACTTAAAACAATACTTCAGGGTGTTAGATACACCACAAAATACTTCGAAATGCTAGATGCACCTAAGAAAATATTTTGGGGTAATGGATGCACTATAACCCAAATCTTTATTGTGGTAAGTGATTCAAGATATGTCCTTTACTTCATGTATAAAAATTCGACTGCTGTTTCCAGTTTGTGCTGGGGTGGCAAGATAACTTTAGTTTTTTCTCCCCTGGCTAGACTGTGAATAGGATAGGGAGAGGAGCCACAGCAGTAGCTCAGCTAAACATCTTAGATAGGTGCATTTTACAGTGATTGATAAGGTTAATCATATCTGATGAAATGCTTCCATTGAGTTTGTCAATATGCAATACAAGGTGGGGAGCTGTGTCAAGTTTCCAAAACATTGTTCTTATAAAGGCTGAAAAAGTTTAAATTGACCAAGTTTCAATGGAGGCAGAAACTGAACCTTAAAGTGACAAGTACGGACACCAAGGTGATGAGTAGGATAATTATCCAGATATTACACAAACAGATAGCCAAAAAGAAAAAAAAAAAGTCCGATTAAATGCATTTCTATGATGCAGTGTAACGGGACAGAACCTTAACTTTATTGTCAAGACCAGCGATTTCTTGTACTGTTGAAAATTAAAAAGGAGGGAAGAAGAAGAAAAAAGGAATGAATAGAGGCAGAAACACATAAAGCACTGGCACATAATGATTTATAACGTAGCCCAATCTCTACAAGAATGACGCACTGATTGGATGGGAGATATAAAACCGTAAAAGATAATTGCAACATATAAAACTTGGTGTCAGAAAAGTTTTTTGTAGAATGGTGTGCATTTATGTTTATTGTTGGGGTTATAATAATGCCTTGAGGGGAGAGGATG